CACCTGTCCACAGGAGAAAGTCTTAAATCCCCGGCCGAAGGCCGGCTATTTAGAAAAAAAAATTCAAATTAAAAGAGAATTCTGCTCGCGTAGCCCAATTTTCCACCTGTCCATAGGAGAAAGTCTTAAATCCCCGGCCGAAGGCCGGCTATTTAGAAAAAAATTGAAATTATTCCGGAAGTACGAAGTTCTCCAAAAAATAATTAGGTTGTAATCAGCTCCAAAAGGACTATGTGTTGTAAGAAATTTAAATGTTTCGGAGTGGTATTCTTAAATATATTTAATAAAAAGTGGGGGTATTTTTTGAACTTTGGAACCCAATATCTCGGGAAGTACTGATTTCCCCCCGAAAAAATTTATGTTGCTGTAATCAGCATCAGAAGGGCTACCTATGGTAAAAATTTCAAAATTATCTGAGAGGTGTCCGTAAAGTGCATTTGTTCCCGCTATGATTAAAAGACGTTTCAAGATTTATTTTCATAATCAGGCTAAACTTATAATAACAATTTGTTTTTTATACCAATATTCCTATTAAATACACCTTGGTTGTATTGCTTTGACGACAATGTTTACGATACGTCGACAGCGTTATAAAATAACTGTAAACAAATTTTGTCAAATGGCCTTGTTTTTGGGAGCGTATGTTCAGTTTGTTCTCATTTAATCTCCATCCCACCTCATTCGTAAACAATTCAGCTCTCATTTAGTCTCCATCCTACCTCATTCGTAAATTTTCGATAATACCACTTTGACTTCTTCTTTATCGGCTATTTTGTCTTCTCCTCCCATTCGTTAACAGGTGTAACGTTTTTCAATTTTTCTTGAGGATTCACTCGGCATCTTCGCATCGATCTAAATTAATTTTAATTTAATTAAGTTTAAATACGCAAAATACAAAGGATTTAACTGATGACAGCAACCACATTTTATTTTAAATCGTTTCGGAGGTAATTTGTTTTTGCTATATTTTGTTTAGATGGTGAATGAATCTGGGTCTGGGGTAAATCCATCCATAAAGAAATCATAGCTTTTTACTTTTAATTCATGTTTTCAATTTTTTCTGAAAATATTTTTAATACATTTTTATATTTTCTGAGTTTATATGTCATCAAAAAACTTGAGTAGTTTTCTTTTGTTTATTCCACATTTGCTTCTAATTCGAATTCAATGAAAAGAAAGATATATCGAAATAAGTGGAAAACTACATTTGCTTCTCCCTACATGTATAAAAATTTATTATTTTTATACTTTTATTATTTTCATTTTTTCTGAAAAAAATTGTGAATTTTAGAAATTTTTTCATGTTGTCAAAATTAATTTATTTTCGATAGAAGCTCTTAATGTTTAGGGATGGGACGAATTTCTTTGTTGTTTAGAGAGTGATTGAAGTATGGGCATGGTCCAATTAACAGATCCTATAAGAGGCGAAATTATTTCACCCGAATTGAGAAAATTTGACTTAATCGTGTGAAACAAAAAATTTGACAGTTTGAGGGATTTTCTACCAATCTAATATTCACCTCTTACACGACCTGTTAATTGGACCATGTGTATGGGGAACTAACGGGTCGATTATGGAAAGCAACCAAACTACAGTTGCGATTTCAACTGACAACGCCACTGAAATTAAACTTAACATTATGAATATCAACTTTTCGCAGTTGACGTCGATAATACTGTTTTGACACTTCTGCAACTAAAAACAAACAAAAAATTTAATAGAATATTTCAGAAAAACTAATTTTAAGTGATGATAAGCTCAGCGGAACTATTACAAAGCATTTATGAGATAAATCCAATCCATTTGAACTTTCATCCGTACTGTAAGTAGGTGATTATGTTTAGAGAAATGTTCAATCAACTGCTCATTTTAGCTTTAGGCGTATTTTCGGCTACTAAAAGATGTCGTTGTGTACTTATTTGAAGCATTAAATCCTGATTTCCAGAAAGCCCGACGGTCAACAGCAATTCATCCCTCCTCTCTTACAAGTGTGTGCAGCTCTGTGTTTTTTTTTCGGATTGAAGTTTTCAAAAGTCCCATGGCAATGTCTTCAACCTTGGCATTGCTCAACCCACAATGTCGGTGGTTTTGACCGAAGTTGTCCGGCTAATAGAGGAAGAACTAGCTAAAATTTGGAAAGTTTCCAAATTAACACAAGAGGAAAAAGGGAAGAATAAACACTTTTTAATCGAAAACAAAGTTCCCGGGTGTTGTCGGATGTATAAGATGGCACCCACGTACATATCATGAGCCCAATAGAAGATGTTCGCCATTTTGTAGTAATTTTAACCATTATGGGAAGCCTACAAATTTCAGTTCTTATAAACACGACTAAACAGCAACCAGAAATAAATGGTTGCCGAAAAATTCTATTTGAAGCAACTGAAGTTTACAACAGTTGCCATCCATAAGTCAAACATGACAACTGGCCACGCTATTAATCTATGGCAAGGTAGATATACAAGGTAGCCGCATCTGCGAATTTCTACAACAAACATCGGTTGTTGTATTTTGATATGTCAAAAATATTTTGCCAAAACAAACAGATTGACAAGATTTTTTTACACAAATTCTTGTAGAAAATGTTAATAAAAGTATTGCCAAAAAAGCTATTCGAAATTCGGAGATTTTCATTTATAATTTTTTTTAATTTTTTGGTTCAACATTACAACATTTTTGACATTTATTTGTCCAACAGCTGGGCCGATGCGGCTACCTTATTTAATATTCCTTGATCTATGGTTACCCTCCGTAATCGGCCAATCGAATGACAGCGAATAACGCCCGTCTGTACATGGCATTATGACTTATATATTAATCGATTAATCGAAAGTCGATTTGCTTATCCCTAATAATAATTTGCCTAAACCTCATTCGTAAACAACATTTAGTCTCTATCCCACCTCATTCGTAAACTTTCGGTTATACCATTTTGAGTTCATCTTTATCGGCCATTTTGTCTTCTCCTCCCATTCGTTAGCAGGTGGAACGTTTTTCAATTTTTTCAGTCGTCTTTATTTTTTTATTTTAGCTCCGTTCCAAAACCTAAAAGAATCTACTAATTTTACAAGTTTTGCAACTTTTTACTCGAAAACCGTTCCTGAACCCATAAAACTGGTAAAGCATTGAATCAAATTTAAGAGAGCACAAAACAAAATGGCTTTCTCTTTGTAAACTTTTTGTTATGTTGATTTTGAAGTATTGCCATCTAATTTTGGCATATTTACTAGATTTGCGTTCCCGAACTTTTCAAATTATTTTGTACTCTGAGACTTGAAATGTTTCCCTTTTACTAGCTTTACTATTAAACAAGTGAAAAAGCGTTAAGTTCGGCCGGGCCGAACTTTGGATACCCTCCACCACAGGTATACTGACAGGTATTTGAAATGAAAAAGTGGACCGATATTTATAATTTTAAATAGAGATATTTGGTACCCAATATGAACCCACTGTACCAAATTTCAGCGAATTCGGTTGAAAATCGCGCTTAAGAACCTCAAAATACCGAAAATTTGGGGTGCCCTTATATGGGGGCTACCAGAAAAAGTGGGCCGATATTTATAATTTTTAGTAGAGATATTTGGTACGCAATATGAACCCAATGTACAAAATTGCAGCGAATTCGGTTGAAAAGCGCGCTCAAGAACCCCAAAATACCGAAATTGGGGGGTACCCTTATATGGGGGATATCCGAAAAAATTGACCTATATTTAAATTTTTTTTGTGGAGAGATTTGGTACCTGCTAAGAACTCAAAATACTAAATTACAGCCAATTCGGTGAAAAATACGATAAAAACCCAAAAAATACTGAAAATTAGGAGGTACCGTTATATGGGGGCTACAAGAAAAAGTGGACCTATATTTATAATTTTTTGTGGATACATATACTACAAATTCACTTGAAAAACGCGCTCAAGAACCCCAAAATACCGAAAATTGGGGGGTACCCTTATATGGGAGCTATGCCTAAACGTGGACCGATATATCCCATCTTCGAACTTGACCTGCCTGCAGACAGAAGACAACCCTATGCAAAATTTCAGCACCCTATCTCAATTCCTTCAGAAGATAGCGTGATTACAACAGACGGACGGACATGGCTAGATCGTCTTAGAATTTTACCCTGATCAAGAATTTATATACTTTAGAGGGTCGGAAATGAATATTTCGATGAGTTACAAACGGAATGACAAAATTAATATACCCTCCATACTATGGTGGAGGGTATAAAAAGTACTGGAACAGACCATTTGTTGGCGAAGTTTTGACTACGACGTCGCTTGAGTCTTGGCAGAACGACGATTAACAAGCGAATTTTATGAAGGCTGGAGTCTTGGAGGCTTCCCACTGTTCTTTTGAATCTCTCTCTCTCTCTCTTTTATTATTTTTTTTTTCGTTTTTCCATATATAGTTCCTTTGCTCCATATAGTTCCTTTGCTCTTTATAGTTCCTATGCTCCAAATAGTTCCTTTGCTCCATATAGTTCCTTTGCTCTTTATAGTTCCATTGCTCCATACAGTTCCTTTGCTTCAAATAGTTCAAAAAAGGAACTGGATCAGAGAAAGGAATTATATTAATTAAAGAACTGGAACTAGTTCCGTTCGTTCCCTTCTCGGAATAGTTCCAATGAACTAGTTCGTTCCGGAACTACCCAACTCTACTATTCAGTTTATTTGGAAACTATATTTTTGCTATGTTAAGGATTCTTGGCAGTGTTTAAAATTAATTTGTAAACTACTTAAAACACCACGTTCAAGATCAAATTGTCTTTTGCAGAATCACCTATATGTAACACAAAGATTTAACACGTTTAACTATAGCCCAAAAGTATTGTACATACAAAGACATTTTGTGTATCTTCAATTTGGTCTTTGTAGTTTTGATGTATAACTAAGTCCTTTTTGTACTGGGAAGTCTGGCAACCGCGGATATATTTCTGGTTTATGGCATAAGACCAGAAATACAATATAAACCGAAACCGTTCAAACCGAAGAAATAATGGGTAGCATTGACAAAGCGTGCATTTCAGGATTCTTGTGTCGGCTGTGTTCCGAAATGCACCGTATCGTAATTCATATTTATGGTGATCAGGGACAGCGACTTTGTTTGGTGGAGAAAATAAATGGATATTTGCCTATTACGGTAAATTAACAAAATTGCTTGCGATACGCCCAATCATTTGCATATCCATATACTTTAGATTTCCCCAACAGATCCACTACCGAAGACCATCTGTACAACATGTTTGAGACGCGTGGAACAGCATTATGATCTACTAATGCGATTATCACGAATCCGGGAAGAGAGATTCGTTGAACTAAAGGTATTTTTGCAAACAATATCTATAAATTTGTTAGCTTGACAGAATATCTTTGTTTCTTGATAGAGTCGCCAACATGTTGAAGATTTACCCTACGTATCTAGTCCTGAATTTTCCGAAGATGATAATTATCACAGCGAAGACGAATCCAGGCGACGACAATCTCAAGATCCTCTAGCAGATAACGGATCTCCTTCGACATCATCTGCATCGGCAGACATTCCTTCTTCATCAACACGATCTAATGAGGTTGGCGTTTCCAATAGTAACAGTACGAATGTTGACAATGACATCGATATCAACACAAACGTTGATACTCTAGAAGAATTTTTGTCATCTTCGTCTTCCAACACAACGTATGAAAACAATGCTGCTGATCAATTTGAGATGACATTGCCAGTGCACAATGACTGATTACCATAGCTAACACGAATTACATTACAATATTATTATTAAACATATATAAATATGTAGGTTTAACTTCATTATTTTTCGGTAAATAAATACATATAAAAATAAAATATAATTCATTAATTCAGTTCCTATGGGTTATACGTTATATTTTGCTGACAAACTAAACGATGTCAGGTTCAAGTTCAAATTTGATTACAATATTATGTGAGGATAAATTGTTTGAGTTGGCATTCACTAATATTTCGTTGCAATCTGGAATTGTGGAGTGAAATTGTATTTTTAGTCGTTTCAACTATGTATTCGCACAACGTGAAGATTATTTGATCTCCAGTAAATATTTTAAATTGTTTTTCAACATTTTCATATAGCATTAGTATTTGTAGTAGAGAAATAGAATTTATTATTTGTTATTAACCCATCACATTCAAAAATTGGGACTGTGTTGGAGATATCAAGATTAGGGTAATTTTTCAAAAATAAATGTAATCGACCATTTGCATGTATGAAATTTGATGAGTCGCATCCATTCACGACAGGTTGCGCATCATTTATCCCAAGTAGTGAATCTCTCTCTCTGCGTTAACTGTAAGTTTTGGCATTATTCATGTCTATAGTGGATAAGACAGTAGGACTTGTGGCAAGTATTCTTCCTAAACACGACGGTCCCTCCACTTCCTCGGGAATGACGAAGAGGGTTAGGTCTCTGGAAGAGCAGATGAATGCCAAACCGGTAAAAAAGAAAATGAGCTTTTCGTTGGCAGATAGCAAGAGGAGGCAGAGCTTACCCGAAATCAAAGGTGACTGTCAAAATCCATTGACTGAGGGTGACGATGACGGCATTAATATCATTACACTAGACTACAGTTTTTGTTAATTTCGTCCAGAGGGCCTACCTTCAACAAATCATTGTTAAAAGCACTCAATAAGACGAGCGCAGCATTCTGTTAATCCAAAATGACTAACCAGAAATCACGAAAGAGGAAGACAGCGGCAACCAATGTTAAGTAGCCGCCATCATTTGGAAAGGTTACCAGGAGGCAGGCAGAGATAAGCTCTGCTATACAGTGATCGACGAATTAACCCAGGCCATCATCGATTTCATAAATATGTTATGTCACCCTGTTGCCTACGTCATATTACACGAATCACCATTGCATGTGCAATACTGCACGGTGATCATATGTGCTGCTGACGTGTCAGGATTTGATTGGTTGATGCATTTTTGCAAATTAGCGATCCCTAAACGGACTAAAAATTGACTTTCGCGTCATTCTCGAGAGTAGCGGCTGGCGAGTTAAGACTGAATACGTAAACGAAAAGAGGAAAGGAGAAACAGAAAGAAAAATAAAGGAATTCTACCGGTGTTAGAGTGTTGTGTGAAAATAATAAAAAAAAAAAAACACTAATAAAGAGTGAAGAATATACATTCAAATGGATGCACTCTAAAAATAAAAAGTGTGTGTTTTCGTGAATTAACATTGAAATTGTTCAATGTTTTTTTCTTAACTGGTTGGGTTAATTTGTGCAAACCCAACAACAGTGAAAAGCCGCCACCGAGGCGCTGGGACTGTACCAGTGAATTACACATGATGGTGCACGCGCAGTTGGGTAACGGTACAGTGAGTTTTTTATGATACAACTAGTTTTGTTCGGGTATCAGTAAACCCACAAACATTTAATATAAAAAAAAATAGTGCCGCCAAAAATTTGTTAACCCAATTCAGATTTAACCAACTCAAAATTTCATCCGCCCACCAACTTTTTTGCAAAAATCAGTGCCATCTAAATCAAATAACCCAATTCATACCGAACACTCTCATAAATCAGTACGCACCAACATTCCATAGCAAAAAACTAGTGCCGCCAAAATTTATTCACCCAATTTAGACTTCACCAATTCGAAAATCAACCCGTCCACCAACATTCTATAAATAAAAGCTAGTGCAATCAAAATATAATAATTCCGGTTCAGACCTAAACATTTCGCAAAACAGTTCACACATCAACCTTTCATCAAAGAAATTTTGCACCACCATCCAATAAACCAGCTGTTACCCCATAGCCCAGTTCGTACACAGCATTCCATAGACAAATTCATACATCATCATCAATAGCCTGGAATTCAACCCACCTCAACTGGCGTTATTAATTCAACTACCGTTAGCCCACATTTCGTTTCCTCAACATGCCACCCTCAGCCAATTGTAAGTAAATCCGTAGAAGACCTAACGGGAATCAAATTTACTGTAGACCGGATAATAGGAAGATGTCTCGAATTCTGATTGGCAGCAGTGTTCTCATACCTTTACTATTAATTAATTCATCATAATTGATACATACATTATTATTATACATTATTATTATACATTTATTATTATACATTATTATTATACATTATTATTATACAGTTTTACTCCATTTTTTTTATATAATTGTTGTAAAATACGTCTCGGCGATCTCCTCATTTCAAAATTAACCATATTCGGATATTTTTTTTTTATACAGTCGAAGCGACGAACTCCTACATCACATCGAGCTCGATAGGTATAGGAAACTTCTTCTTTTTTTTGGATTTTAAATCATTTAAGCCCAAATATCTGGGGAAATCACCTGAGAGTATGTTCTAAATTCATTCCTGGCATATTTCTTTAGTTTCCTAAATGCATATTTGTAAATCATTCATTTATATTACATCATCCTAAGGCTTAGAAAAAAATTTAATCTTGAATATTATTGAATCCAATTGTTATTAGATGTTACTGCTTTAAGCTTATATGGTATAAACTTTGAATAAACAATGAAAATGTTACCGAATTATAAATTGAAATGAAAGGTTTGAGCTATAAATTAATTGGTAAATAAAGAAAGGTAATGTAAAGGTAATTGGGCAGTCGTAATAATAAAAGTATGGGGGTCCTCATGATTCAGAGGCCCATTAAGGGGGTTCAAGGTAGGAACCCATAGGGAGGGCAAAGGGTACCCAAACTCCACCTAGGGGTACCAGCAACAACAACATGAATAACCAAATACAATCCAGCAACAACAGCAATCAAAAACAATACAACAACATGTTTTAATGGTTTTCTTGTAAAATGATATAATGTTATTTTTTTTGTATGTGCTCAAGTGTACCTCCTCGCCGCTAGAGTTTTAGCCGGAGCCATCTTAGCAAAATACCATCAACACCTTGGTAATGAATAGAGGTCATACTTGCCAGGCATATTACAAAATGGCGCCCAACGTAAAGGCAAATTTTAGGTTTTGGATCTAATGTGTCCATACCTGAAATTTTGCAATCATTTTGTTTTTTTTAATCTGATTTTGATTATGAGTCTTGAGGTGTTGTTAAATTACAACATTCAAATGCAGTAAATTAATTCAGATGATCTACATCTCCAAACCCCATCTCGTTGAGAAATATTTTAGTCGTCTTGAAAAGTAGTTTTGATGACATTTTCAATTTGTGACCAAAATATTATTATGAATTCATAACATTTTTATATTGGCAGTTGGTAATATATAGTCATTCACCGTCGATAAATTTATGATTGAGGTGTTATTAGCGATATTACCCAACGGCTTAATTAGTATTATATCATTTTCGCAATTACTTTTGGAAAAATTTCCAGTTGTTGGAATTTTGGATGTTCTTTTGTTGTTGTTTATTTAATTTTACGGCTGACCCAAACCTTTTTACATTCGCCGATTATTGAATGAATATAGTATAACATTATAAATCTTTCGGAAAATAATTCCTGAAGTGAGAAGACTTTAGAATAGCAATTATATATAATGTTGATGTTTTTTTTTAATTTTTGATACTCTTTTGGAAAACTGACCTATAGAAACATTAATTCTAGTTTTGAGTTCTAGTTTGAGATTTTGTTGAATTGACTTTCGATTTTAATATGGATCCTGCAACGGGAGCATCGAAGAAAACCCGAGGTCCCATCACCCGTTCGAACAGTAAAGCCAGTGATGATGTTCAGGTTGATAATGTCCATACTTCTGATACTGATGATGAGGGTCAGACCACAGCGATAGGAGGTGCTGATGAAGCAAGTACTGTAACTCAGCCGTCATTTAGCCCGTTGACACAATTAGGTGGTAGCCTTCAAGAGTCTCGGAAATTGAGTAGTACAGGAGTAGTTGAAGCTTCGATGATAGAATTGTTTCGTAGTGAAATGAAAAATGCAGTAGCAGAGGCAGTCCAAGAGGCGCTGTCACAAACACCGAGTCCTACCGGTAATTCGAAAAGTACTTCACAAGATATCCCATGGCCACACGATTTACCACCACTTAACCCAGAATCAGATAGAAGACAGGAAGTGCATACTTTTCAGCCTCAGGATAGACCAACACAAGACTACAACTCTTATAAACCCAAATACCCATATCTTAGTAAATGGGGAGTGAAATTTGATGCAACTCCGAAAACTCCTCAAGTGGAGGATTTCATATTTAGGGTTGAAAGATTGCAAAAGAGCTACGGTTGTTCCAATAGAGAGTTATTGGATGGATTTCACCATTTGCTTGAAGGCCGACCAAATCAATGGTATTGGGCACAAGTACGTCTTCATCCAAATATGAGCTGGACTAATCTCAAATTATCTATTATTCGAGAGTTTCAAAAATATCATTCAAATCTTGACGTTTTAAGACAAATGATGGACCGCAAGCAAGGTCGTGACGAATCGGCAACACAGTATATTGACGCGATAACTAATTTACGTAGCCAGTTGAGAAATTCCCTGCATGATTACGAGGTTATCGACATTATTAAGAACGGTTTAAAGCCAAAGGTGGCACACCTTATCTTTAGTTCCGAATGTTTTTCAGTAGAAGGTCTTCGTAACGAATGTAAGAAGGCTGAAGAATTTTTGGAAAGAGAATCTTCCCAAAGGTTCAGGCCAACAGGAAACCCTCGTATGGTCAATGAAATCATTGGGAGTGATGTCGATGAAATTACAGAAGAGATCGACGAATTGAAGATTAGGTCA